CAAACCTGTTGAAAAAGCAAGTCCACAGTTACTGAGTCAATGCAGAAGAACAAACTTAATTTTCCCTTGAATGTCTTATACTGAGTTTTTCTATTTTCAGCTGATTGAACAACAATTTAAAAAAAAGGCAGGTTTTGGCCTTTTGGAATCACATCCTTATTTTAAGGATGGCACCTCCTACTTTAAAGGGGGCATTTCAGTTACTATAGACCAATTCGAGCAAAAAGTAACTGAGCACTACAGCACCCGGCCGTGGGATAGTGCTCATCCTCGACATCCAAGTTCCTTTGGAAACCCTGACCTTCCAGGTTTTCCACTTAAGGGGTGTCAGGTTTGGGTGTAGCCCTGATTATTCACAGGAGGGCAAGAGACACAAGCAGATCCTGGGTGGTTGGGCCTGGGTTTTTTGAAACGTTGACACATTGTTCTTGCTAGTTTGGAGTGAGGCATCTTGTTCATGTTGATGTACACTCTTGTGGAGGCGGGAGAGGGCTGTGTAACATATAGTATAAGCCTGTGGCAGAGTTAATGTTTGTAAATAAGTTTTTTTTTTTAAAAAAAGGTGGATTTTGTTTCAAAAATCTAAATGAACAAGTCTTAAGTATATTGCGCTGATTAGAGGTGTCAGAATATCGCTCTCTCTCTCTGGCTGCAAAAGGAAACCGAGCACACTATGAACATGTTCCTGTGTAGTCTATCCATCTGCTGGACTAAAATACAGTCGACCCAGGAAACCTAAGAAAAGGGAAACGTTCCTCCTCACTGTTGCTCAGAAGGCCACGTTGGATTTCAGTTCCTCCAAGCACAAGGCTCGCTGCAGTCCCGTATGCATTCATCTCTTAGTACAGAAACGTTTTGGAGCATTGTTATTGTGACATCCCTAATGCGGGTGATTTAAACATCACGTGGCGTTGAGTCTTCCTATGTTTTATAAACTAGAGTGTAGTTTACAGAAAAGAAACCCTCTGTAATAAATGTATCTACCGGCAAAGTTGTAGTTTGCAAATATGATGTATTTTTTTGGTTAACTGATTTGCAATAAATGATGCTCGCAGGCATCTAGATTTTACTAAAACTGGAATTGGGTCTTTTTTGTTTTTTTGCTGCAAGTTGTTACAACTCTGTGCTGGCCACGTGGACCAGTGCACACTCCTCATTGATGGTTGATATGTGCATGAAAATTGTACATCTCTGAATAAAACAACGACCTTTTCTTTTTTGCCGAACTCAGTCCAGTCCTGTTAGGGTCAATAAAAAAGAATGCCACTGATTTCAGTGGAAATTGGAAATGAATCCTGGAATCAACACTCCTGTTGTCTTCACTGGAGGTTTTACCTAAGTGTAGAGCATCAGAGAGGATTACTGTGTGAAGCTCTGATCCTGCCATGGGAACTGCATGGTTGGTTTCTCATTGACCTGTGGGCACAGTGAGGTCATAAGTGGTCCCCACTATTAGATCTGGTCTAAAATGGGACAAGTCGGGAAGACTGTTTTAAGAGCTTCTTATATGGCAGCTTCAAGTCTTCCCCTGACCCCCCTTAAATCTCCCACTGGAAAAATGATCCCTTTTACCCAAAATGTCACATTGTAGGAGAGCTCTGGCAGATTGGTGGGAGAGCTAAGTGTGATTGAGTGTACATGGTTTTGATTACAGAAAATAGGGGGGAAATGATGCATGGGGTGGAAGAATAATTCACACACACTAAACAGGGCACATGGGAAAGCTCGTCTGTTGAGCTGGTATAAACAAGGTGAAAAGGTATCTAAACAGTTGGAAAGGGGGGAAATAATTTCCCGGTGTGAACTTTTACCCCCAAAAGTAAAAATGGCGACCACTGTTTTTATTGCATTTAGATAAATATTTAAGTATTTAAATAATGTATAGTTATGGTTTACTATCTATACAGTATTAGATAGACTAGTGCATCCTCTATTATACTATTACATAAATACTCAAATATGCAAAGAGGAAGATCCTAACAAATCAGAACAGCGTTCATTGCCGTTTCCTCCTCTCTGGCCCAAACAGACTTGGGAGGGAAGTGTCAAGTGGGTGCACGTAGCTACAAAGAAAGCCCCCAGGAAATGAATTCACCAACTGCCAGGCATTTTAAGCAAAAAGTTGTTTGTGCGATCCTTTGCAGACAAATGGGAACTGTAACCCAGCCTGCAGTCGGGAAAAGGGTCTCCACAAAATCTGTTGCCAATGCTCAGACTCCTGAGCCCAACCAACTTCCAAGAGAAGTGGTGCTGGCTCCTACCCT